AAATGTACACGTTGATTTACATTTGTAGGATACAGACAGTGGTACATTAAAAAAATTACCATTGGTGTTATAGAGATAACGTTATTCATGAAGGAGCAGTGCACATGCATATTGCGATAGTTAAAAGAAATTGCAGATTTTAATGATCAGAAAAATCCATTAAAATTAATTTGTTGAAGTGTAACATGGTAAAAAATAGCTAGTCGGTTATAAAACACATACGATATTGATCAAATGTGCATCGCAGGCATTTTCATAATTGTTTTGAGAAAATTGTTTGCTCCATTAACGAATTGGATACTTTAGCGAAATAACGATTACAGAACAAATGATAGAGGATCGGCGAGTGTTTGTTCAATTGTCACACCCTGCGCGTATAAATAATTCATAAAAAATATATATTTAACAAGCTATTTAACGGCTATGTTAGTAGAAAAGATAATAACATTGTCGGCTCGTGTAGTGTATTATGCATATCACAGTGTTGTAGAGTGCAAAATTATCATATCAAAAGAACATTCTGCATCACAATGAACCCAGAATGAGTGTAAAGGGGCTTAAAATATTTCCCAAAGTTTAAACTACTTTACATTATGTACTCTAAATCTAAAGGAGTGCTTTTTTTTACTGCTCCGACGCATATTCGATTAAATAGTGTCATGTTCTTTCATCTTATAGCGCAACAAAACAAAAGAGTAATCGCTGTTGAAGTTTTTTAGGCACACAGATCTCAAAAATATAAAAAGAAAAGACATTTAAAATTTAAATATTAATAACTAATCTATTGAAATTTGTGCTATAATTTTTTATATTAAAAATGTTTATAGATTTCCAATGGCTATACACACATATTTGTAAAACCTACCGCGATTTACAAATTTCAATATTAGTTTATATAGTAAAATTAGTAAATCACGGTGGGTCACTCTATATATTATTAATATCTTTTCAGATGCAAGTTTTGTTTAAGTTTAACTTCATTTTAAAATAAAATAGTTATTTTAGCTGTCTTACTTGTAATATTTATAAAATAATCTTAAATTTACTTAATCCATATATTAATAACTTTAATGAGCTATAAACTACTCTCAAGTTCTTAGAAATAGTGTAATATTCTTCAAAATAAATTAGATGTATAAATTTACCCCTTTATTTTATATCAATTATATTTTTGGAGAATGAGTTTAAATAAAATGATCCAACTTCATTTTTCATTGTTTTTTAATAGTATGCGTACTATTAACTTAATTGTATATATATATATATTTAATAACCTTAAGACGAAATTTACGCAAATTACATAAATTTTAATTGGAAAAAGTCATTAACAGTTAACAATTATAAAACTTTTAAGATAAGTATCTCATTGGATAAAAACTTCCAAAAGTTTTTAAATAAGAACATTGTTTTTAACAAAATATTTTTTTATTTAAGCTTTATACTTGATATCTATTTATGTGAAAATTTTCCAATAATAATATATACCAGTATACAAATTGAAAATTTTTTACCGTGAGGAAATTATTTTGTTACATATTATAAAGCTTTTAAGCTAAAAAAATGTGCATATTTAAAAAAAAAAATTCTCTATGTTATGTTTGAGTTTAATTAAAATTTTTACTTATATCTTAATTGAACGTAAACAAACAGTATTGTATACGCGTGTGACCTTCGAAAAAAACATTTGATATGACGCGATAAAATATAAATCTTTAGAAATTGCAGTATACTTTAATATTGTAGAAAATTGTTGCATTTAAATAATTTCATTTTTTTTTTATCGTCAAAAATAGATAACCAAAAAAAATATATAATCAAATAGGAGCTCATTAAAAAGTTTTAATCTATCGCTATCAATATTTGATACCAGTATATTAACAAGTATTCACTTTATATAAGTTTAAAAATAATACAATATAAATTAATGTATATGTACAAAATATGGATTAGTCATGAAAAAACCAACTATTACAACGTTTATTAAACGCATAATGAATAAAATATTAAAAATGTTAATACCCCTCTATGAAAAAACTCTGTAAGTATCGGTTAATTGTGAAGCAATTATAAATATATAAACGTATTTTCGTAGTTCGTTTTAAGTACATTTTAAGTGATTGCACTTAATATTTACAAAACAAAAAAAAAAATTTCATGGAATTCAGGGATTGAAATTAGATAAATACCATATTTAAAGTTCAATTAGAAGTAAATGATAAAGAATCAATTTGAATGAATGATTGTGTTTTACTTAGAAATCAATTATCCATGTTGCTAATTTTTGTTGAAAATTGAACGTATAATTTATAAATAAAATGTATGACCAATGATTTTTCGAATTTAAAATTATCTCGATTAAACCACTGGACAAGGTATATATCCCTTTTTCTTTTAAAGTACAAAAATCCATTTGAAATTATGAAGATGTTCAAATATTGAAAAAATATCTGTTATAAAATTATGCAAACTAAACTAACTTAAACTACTTTATGCTTGCCTTTTAATACATTTTATTTTAAAGTTGTTTGTGACCTATGAAAAATACATTTTTGACATTCACTGTAATAATATTACACGGGTTAGACACTTTAATAAATATAGAAACTATTGAAACAAATAATAGACTTTATTATAGGAAATTGTCTATTGTTATCGTTGGAAATGTATTTTGCTGTTTAACGAATGAAATTCGAGATGTTTTAATGTAACCTAACCATTATTGACATAAAACGCCATTATAGTTAGAAATCGCAGAGAGAAAAACAATATTCGGAATTGATACTATGGTACTATTTACTAGTCGACGTTGATGGTCATCTCGAATCATGAACGTTTTTTTTTTTTACGTTTTCAACCATCATGTATGAATTCCTATTTACAAAAAAAAAAAAATAAGTAAAAACTTGGTTTCTTTTGAAATATTGATTATTGTACATTAATTGCTACATGTATACACGCGGGTTGAATCTGTTAAAATTTACTTGAAAAGAGCAATGAAACAATTCGATCGATTCTCAGATATTAATCTCGTACATTAACAAGTGTACATTTTAACGTTGGTAAGTTGTAAAATATACCCCTTTAGATATTGCCGTGATGACACACAAACGCTATATTTCAGTTCACGCACTATTGTTAAAGACGGCTAAGATGTCAAGACAAGTTTTTAACCGCAAACAGGAAACACAATACATTATGGATTGCACTTTCGTGAACTTAATGCGTTTGCTTATATCCGACCATGTTACTGTGCTCAAACGCAGCCAACTCGTTCGCCTTTAAATGGTGGTATCTCATATAATTGCCTATTCATTAAAATACCTTTGGGCCGGAACACAAACTAAAAACACTTAAACATCTATTTAGCAATATGCGTGCGCGTAAAATATTGGCCGAACAGTCGTTTCGGCCTGTTCCGTTAGAGGTCGGCCTGTAGTCATCACAGCCGGCGTTTTAAATACGCGAGGTTAATTTTGGAACAGATAATTGTGGCGCGCCAAAGGGACACACTACTCGTTAACACCAAATCGCTGTCACGCAAAACTGTGATTGAACGACTACCGACAAAACGAAATAACACGAGGGGCCCCGCCGTCAATAGCTCGTTGCCAATAAAATTTTTAGTTTAATTATTGTTTTACCGAATGGAACTGTCTCGGGCAAAACTACGTAATAAATGCGCTAATAAATTATCTCATAATGTGCCGAATACAATGTGGACACTTCGGAGGATTTCGAAGATTATCTAAATATACATTTTATGTAGGGAAATAATCAAACGATATAGCCGTGCAGTTTTATTGTCTCGAGTATTGCTTATCCGTTATTTATGGAACGATGCTTAAACCAGCGCAGTAGCATTAACATTAATACCATAAAAGTATTTCTTTTTTTTTTTTAAATTTATATATTGCGGTTTTTATAGAATTTACTTATAGCGGACATATTGTGCCAATAAAAAAAAGGACTATAAAATTGATATATTTGTTACAAAAAAATTATTGCATTTTTCTATAGGAAACGACAAACAATTCCATTGGCGGCGGCGACACGATAATAGCTAAATTGTTTTTATTTCACTCTTAAATTCTGCTACAATTTGTCTGATCTCGGTAGAAACATATTGATCGAAATTTAACCGAATGACGGGACATAGTTTTCTTTTTATTTGTGTACTTATGCGGCGGGTTAAAAAAATTAATCGAGTAAAATTAATTAATTTTTTATTAAAAATTCTGTTGGATGTTCAACCGTTCATTTCTACCTCAACGTTTTTATTAGTTTACATTAATGGAAATGGTGACTTCTTGGTAATTTATAAAACCTGTACATTTCAATTTTAAACAAGTGTTGGTTATAATAACATTTCCTTGGCGATTATTTTATTTAGTTCATTATTTCTGCTATAATTAATCGAATACACCGAAATCATTGAAATGTACGGTTTTCATCAGTTACATAATAATTTTTCTGGAATGTTCCATCGAGTGAATAGGTGTTGAGAGAGAAATGAAAAGCAGCTGTGGTAACGATTTCCACGGGCACGGTATTTATCACTTAATATTGTTCGTCGTTAAAATATTACTGCAAGTTGTCACTTGTCGTTCAATTTCCACGCGTATTTATTAACTAACCTTGAAAATTCCCCTCCCGACAATCTCATCGATAATTCGTGTATCTAATATAGTATTTTTAATAGCGATTATATGTTATGGTAAATTAAACTTAATCTTAAGAATTTATTGTTCTAACGGTTAAAAGGTAAAATGTTGTATTAACATTTTATAATGATGTAAATTTTATCTTAACCTCATTTTAAGTTTCCATTGAATAAATATACTTTTTGATTTAATATCGAGTCATCAATATTTAATACAACAAGTTTTTACATATTTGTTCGCTACTTATGCAATTTGGATTTTAAACAATTGATTAGTTGAGACTTATTTTGAAAAAAAGTCTTTATTTTTGTATCAGCGTGTAAACCGATGAAGACCTACTTGTACATTTACTGTGCTAAATTAGTGGATAATAGAAATAATTCTCTGGCGAGCGACGTCCATATTATTCGGGTTGCATTTTGAAACAAGTCCCTCGTGAACGATTCCATTGCTGTTTTAACGAAATTATTAACCGAAATTAGTGTTTTAACAACAGTCATGTAAAATAATACTTGCACACAATAGTGTGTCCAAATCTAATTCCGCGTGTGCTTATTATAATTAAAAAGATTTATTAGTTTTTTTATGTAAAAAATACAATTTAACGTTGTTTGAAACACTGTATTTGTATTATGAGATCACACGAGGACTGTCATAGCATTACTCGATGTTATTTTTTCCGGGTGTTAAAAAATATTAGATTATGCCATTTTAAGGTTTCTATTATAAGTTCAAGGAGAAAGCTTTTCATGAAAAGTTGCCTTCTTTTGTTTATTTTCAAGTTTAAATCAACGAGTAACACATAATTATGTTGGACGTAAAAATTAATGACAGTTGTTGCCTTAAACTTATTTGCACAACGTACAAAGACATATTGTAGATTTTCTGCATGTTCAACACGTTGTTAATAGCGCGACTGTATTTGAGTTAAACATCAGTTCTCGAGTTCGACAAGTGGAAATTATCTAACGTGTCTTATGTGAAACGATTATTTTTCTAGAAATTTCCTTGTACACACGTCAGCCAATGCGTACAACAAAAATATTATCGTGATAAAACATAATAACAACAGTAATTACTCATATACCGGTTAGCAGCTGATGTACAATATCCTGTTGTGCCGGTCGTGGTCTATGGTAGTATTTTCGGCGATGGATAGGAGGGGATACGTTTATATAGCGGTCTTGGAACGGACACGGTGCGTATAACACTTATAGACGACATCATTGAACGAGCTACTAGAACGCGAACAAACGACCAACGCGATATTTTTTTTTGGTGAACAACTAAAAAACAAGTTAATATTTCTTCTGAGAAAAATATCAAACTCGTGATGGCCAATTTTTTGTTTTGGTCCGCTATAGCTGCTTTGGCAGTCTTCTCGTCGGCAGTCTGCGCTGTTCCAGTAGACTCCACTAACGAAAAACCTGGTAAGTCCTACTTTTTTTTAAATACATCGTTTTTACAGTTCTCCGTGTCAGCGTTTCTCTGGGCCTTAAACACATCTCTGGGTAATAATTGTAAATAACTCGCTCTCCATTATGACCATTTCGACGATACCGTTAGAACATTCTAAACGGTCGTTTCGGCATATTTACAACATAACCCAATGGTTTGGAGCGGCGATCCACCGAACGTGGCAACAGCCGGTCACGATTGTTGCGGTTTAAGTCGATAAATAATGTTTTTTCTAATTGTAAATTCGATTATTGATAGTCATGTTAATTAGTAATAACCTGCAGCATTATATTTTCTCTTGCGCGTCTGTTTGTTTTGTGTATCTGTACCAAAACCACGACCATAGTCAGGTGCAGGTAATCTTTCCAGTTGGCCGCGTTGGTGAAAAATAATGCAAATGACGAGAGCGCCGCAAGGTCTCTTGATGCTCGTCTCCTTGATTATAAAATTCTGTTTTCGTTTCACTTATTCACGAAAAAAAAATTAACTAAATTTTATTTTTTCACAAATTATGTTTTATGTTGTTCATCATTGTGTTTTTTTTTGTCTTCTTCTCCTAAATTCAGTCAAGATAAAAGTCTATTAAAATATCATATTTAGTTTTCGCCCATCTTTCTCATACTATAAATATTTATAATTTAAGTGTCACTGAATGTGAGTCATGATATGTTATACATGCAAAAAACATGATAACGACGTGAGCATATTATTAATAAAGTTGAAAATTATCTGATAAATACAGTTATGATGCCATAAAATGGGAGCTTATATGATTATTTCTTAAGAAAATGCCTATCATTTTCCGCAAGAATTATTGTTAATGTAAGACGAACGCATTGAAATTTATCTAAGCCTATGGTAGCCATTGTACTGAGACTTAAGTAATTAGTCGCTACATCAATTTAAAGTTTCATATAATTTAGATAATTTAGTTTGTGTTATTATTGAGCAACAAATTTCAAATTATTTACTCAGCAGATGTCAGATGCGCACAACCAGCAGATAATTTCTGGGGGTTTATTTTTTCATATTAAACATTTAAACTCTGAAAGGATACTCAAGAAAACTTGATTGAAAAATAAAAAAAAATGTTATCACGACTAAAAATTCAAACATTAAAAGTCATTTTGAAGTATTAAAAACCCCCAACTGCTTACTGGTTGCAATACTGGCAGTTGGTAGCATTTTAAAATATATATTGACATATATTATGGGGATAGTACAAAAATGTCCAAATTGCGTTTTGTCAAGGCCAAAAGGAAATGTATTTATTTTTTATGAGCATATCAAATTAAATTCTACTTAAAAATATATTTTATATAAAACATATTTATTCATTTCGTCAACTGTATTCTCATTTTTTATTTAGTTAATAATCATTTTATTTTTGTGGTCTATATATGGGTAAATACCGAGGAGTTATTTATTAAATTCGATTTATAGAAAATATATTATGGACATTTTTTATATTAGACTCGATGGTTGGTATTTTATACAAATTCACTTTAAAGCTTGAACTCGATATCATTTATTTGTCTTTAGTTCTTTATTGAAAAATTATACAGCTAAATTTTGATTTGTGGAAAAAACATAGTTTTTATATATTTTGAAACTTTTTGCATGAATACTTCTTTTGAATCCATTTTTTTAGTGTAACTAGCTAAACATGAAATGGGTTAGTAATTCAGTTTTTCAAAGGGACTGTCAGTTTGAATTAAGAACCTACTTATTTTCAATTTGTGATTGTTTATATTCAACACAGTTTGACAAGTTGATCCAAAATTTATTACTATGCCACATTATTGCTATATAATTATTAGATTTCCATATTTTTTGAAATCATGTAAATTGAAAGGTAATATCATGTACCTATTCAACAACATGTTGTAATTAACTTCGATTTAAAAATAGTCGATCTACTTTAAAATTTAACCCGTATTTTGCTTTTTGTTTGCTGAAAGAGTTTGAATTATTATCATTATTTTCACTTCACTAACAGCTTTTTAGTTTACATTTTCAGTAATGTATGTGGGTGTATCAAAATTAGTAGTTTGCATAACATAAGTATCAATTATCAATGTTTATAACCTTTTTTCTAAACAAAATTATGTATTGATAATTTTTAATTGTTTAAACGTATAATCGTTTAATCTTTGAGAATTACAAACCCCTGTGCAGAATTAATTAGTATTATTATTAATACCTTCTAAATGTTTACTGTAACGTTGAAAATGTTAATGCGTATTTTAATACAAAATATATTTTTATTAGTTACAAATATATATTTTTATTATACCTATACGCGAAAGAGTATTTTAGTCACAAAAACTGCGAGTGCCAAAAAATATAAATAGATGCGAGATTTTCAAAAGTTCCCAGTAAACTTGGAAAAGTGATCTGTTCGTTTATAGCTGTTGAATTTTTTAATTAGTAGTAGATTCATTTTCTGGAGAGTGATCTCGGTTTGTATTTGTTTTTAAAGACGATTGTTCTTGAAATGTTTTTAATAATGGAAAAATAACAAATAAATGTTATTTTCATCAAAAATAAAAAAGAGAACTACTTGAATTATTTAAAGTTAATGAAATATAGCATAAAAAAGGAACAATATTTTTTCTGAATTTGAACTTTGTTTTAGTTTTATTAAAAACATAAAATTATTATTTGAAGTCTTTGATAAAGTGCAGGAGAACGTTTATTTTATGTAGTCCACTGCTTTGACAACAGTTTTGTTAATGAACGCTTTCCTCAGGTGTAATTCGATTGTTTTGAAGTTTTGGTTATTCATTTGAACACAAACAAGTTTCCGTCTACATAAACAAAATAATTATGTTCTATGCGCATATTTTAACATTAATTTATCAATATATTTTTGTTATAAAATGTTAAACGTGACTTTTTCTAAAAATTTGATTAAAAACAACAAAATATTTATTTATTTTTTCTTTACACGACTGACTGTTTCTGAGATACTAATTAACCGTAGGTACGTCCGGTGTATATTGCACGGTATATAATGGAATCTTTCGTACGTGAAGGTATTCAGTAATTAATCATGATTAAGCAACATTTTGTGTTTGATCCCATCAAAAATTATTATTTACCTGCGTTGGTAATATGGACATAATGTCAGAATTTCGTATAACACCATTTCTATAATTGGGCCAAGTCAACGGGTTTTTCGCTCTAAATAAAACTTAAATAACATCTACCGTAATATATTTTTTGGTGATCTTGTATTAGTTGTAAACAAGTGAATATAAAAAATTACATGACTTCAAAATCATTACTCAATGATGAACATTTTACTTAAATATAAAATACTGAAAAAACGAAAAGGAGAGCTTTTTTTTTTTATTAAGGTAGAAACTTAAGATACTTATACTTAGTTGGTTATTAACTTATATTATTTGGATGGTTTTGTTATTTGTAAAACGTCTGCAAAACTTAATTATACCTAGGGGTTGATAAAAAGGCAATACCCTCATGTTTAATGGTTTAAAATATTCACCTTGAAATGGTGATTATTTTTATATTTTGCATATTATAATATTTCAACATAAAAGCCTTTTTTTTTTTTCCATAATTTTTTCATCGTTCTTTTCACAACATTTTTTGTTATTTTACGCATCGTGATTTTTTTTTTCTTTCCGTTTTTTATGTAATATTAAGAATACTTAAGTGTATAGTATAAATATATATACATTTATGTATTGATAAATACTTTCTCTCTAAAGTTCTGCTGTATGCAATCCAAAATAGATTTGGATTGCATACAGCAGAATTTCTTTTATTACGGAAATTTGGGTTTTACTCGTTGAAAAATAACAATTGTTACTAATCCTGACCTCAGTCCACTTACTAAATTGGTTTTTCATTCAAACTATTTTAAGAACTGAAATTTATTGTTCTTAAATGAGTTCATTAACTTTATCTGATTTTTACATTCGATCAGGCGTGTTATTTGACAGCTGGCATTTCCTATAAAACTATAATTTTATAGTTATTGGTAAATTTATCGAGCATTTTTCATCAAGGTTAACTTACAGCGATTACCGATAATTCCTAGAAAATATTGATTACACGATATTGTTTGAAATTGTATAACCTTAAAAATTTACTGTAATTCATTAATAATTAAATGTAAATGACCGGAAAGAGAAAAGCTTTTTTTGAAAGGCTTTTATTTATTCATCAATTTACAATTGGAATTCTACGAAATGTTCGCAAAAAATATAAAAAAAATAAATTGCTATTTAAATTTACTTTGTGCTTTTCATTTTGTTTGTGTCTCTCGTTTCATATTTAAAACTTAACATTTATTATTGAATGACGTGTTGGTTTGAATATATTATGTCTGACTAACAACACAAACAGTTGGGCGTGTTATTTCTTTTCAACATAATTTGCAACCATCACGGAGTTACCATATTAATATCCTGTATGTAGCCAAAAAATTATCATTTGGCATTCAATGCTTTGAGTGTATTTTTCGAAGAAATTGAATTTTGTATTCATAGACTTACTTCGATGATATTTTTGTTAACATGTTTCGAAAATTGTTCAGTTGAATATAAGGTAAAAAACATTAAAATATAATCATATTACCCGCCATAAACAATATAGATAAAAAATAATAAGATTCATTGAAAGAATTAAAAAATGACCAAAAAACCTTTCAACATTTTCTTTTCTAGCATAATTATAACTGTCAATTATGGATTGATAGAAGTATAAAATATGTATGCGTATAAATTGAAATAGATTAAATTGGAATTTTTGCGATCATAAACACATGTTTTGAATTTTCAATAAAATTTAATCCTTTTGAATAAATACCATATATGATGTTGTTAGTGTAAAGGAGTAAAATCTAATTGTTTACAATTTTTTAGGATACCAATTATTTTTACTAGTATTTAATGTTTTATGGCATAGAATATTAACAAACGATATGTTAGTTTATAAATTCTTAAAAGATCTAAGAACCGAAATATTTTAATTAGATCTTTCGTGAATCTTCTGGTTGTTTTATAATAATAATTTAAAAAGTTGACATCACATTTTTTTTATACTAGAACTTGTCCTATAAAATTAAAATATAAATTTATTAATTATATTATACTTTTTAGATGTGACTGTTAAGCAGCCTGAAGTTCCAGAAGTGTCAGTGTCTGATAAAGTACCAGAAGTACAAAAGCCAGTAATTAAAGAGATTGAGCCTATAGAAGATGTACCTAAGAAGTCCGAAGTTGGAAAGAAAGTTTATCCTCAACAATATCCCACTTTTAACCAGCAATGGTTCCCGTTTCCTGTAGATAGACAAGGCTTCAATGTTTTCAACGCTCCTTTCCCAATGATGCCTTCACCTTTCCATCGGTTGTTCCAGGCTTATAACCAAGAATTTAAAGGTATGTTTTTATCAATAATTGTTTTGTGTTTTCATTGTATTTTTGTGCTTTAACCACATCATGTTGCATTTGACAACTAACTAACTAATATCACCTCATTCACAGCACCTGAAGTAATTATAATAAATCCAAAACAAAACTCTCCATTTAACCGTACATCAATTCCACCAATCCCTATGCTCATGAACATCATGCTTAATGCTTTTCGACCAACAGGTAATTTTTTTTAACACGCTGTTTATTTAATGTGAATGTTTTTTGTTATCATAATTGGCTAGTTTAGAAACTTTTGATACAGTGGATTTACATTATGATATTTAATTTTCAGATATTTTATCACAATTCGAAAAAGATGTAATGGATTATGACAGTGTAATTAAAACTGATTCAGATGAAGTTATGCCAAAGGCAGAAAACAAAACTACAACCAGAACTGAAGTAAGGCCTGAATTAGTAAAATAAATTTACTTTCACTAATTTTACTGTAAAATGTTGTACATGTTACATGCAATGATATTTTCAACCGATTTTTATTGTAGTAAAATATTTTTCGAGTTATAATAAGTCGATCCATGTTACAGATCATTGATGGTCACGTCGTTCAAATTAATGAGACTACGTATACCAGTGGAGATGAGAATAATAAGAGCTTTTTCCACTTCAAGAAAATCCACGTATTACCTCAAAACCCACAAATTGAACAAGGAAAACCTGAACAACCACAAGACAAGAAACCCGAAGAAGTTGATGTATCTATTCCTTCAGATGAAATCATTCCTCCAAAGGTAGAACAACCTAATCCGGATTCAGAAATTGAAACTATTAATCCCCAAAATATAAATACTAACGAAATTCCTAAATCTAAATCTAAATCTAAAACTAAATTGCAACAGCAACAGCAACAGCAATAGTTATAGTTGTAAATATTTTATTTGCTTAAGTGATTTATTTACAAAGTTTCTTTGTGACTTTATTAACACCGCTTTTATTTTTTATACATTACTATAATTATGTTAATTTGAACATCTATCTAATACTGTGTAATCTGAGCTTTCAAATGACTTAATCAAAAACAAAACTAGTTAACATAAAATCAAATTATTTATTACTAGTTGATTTTAAACATAGGATTATAAAAATAAATTTAAGTACGATTTTGCACTTCTCATTTCATTTTAAATATAATTTTAGTATTATGAAATGGATTAATTTCTATATCAAACTATATTTTTGTACTTTCCTGAATTTAGGTTTTTCATTTATAAATATTATTTTTTGATAAATTATTTTTTATTTATTTAACGTTATGATGTAGTTTCAAGTATGAATAAAGTGCTATGGATTAAATATTTTTTAAAATGATGAGTATTTATTTTATGTTTTTTAATCATGTTCTGAATGTTGTCATAATTTATTGGGTTCTTATTTATTTAATTTTTATTTCTTAAATACAACTAATTGCTTATAACTAATTAATGCAATATTTTGTAAGTATAAATTTTGATATAGTATTAACACAAAAATGAGCTATGCAATTTTTTATATACATAATTAAATTTTTTGCAGTGAAAATCTGTTAATTGAATATCTTACTTCCATTTAACAGCTAAAAGTTAATTAATACAGATTTTTAAATTAATTTTATCTTTATAAATTTTAATTTATTAGATTCGTTGGCTCATAGAATATTACTATGAGTAAGCATTATTATGATATAAATTTATTTCGAGATAATTAATAATTACTGACCAAATAATTTACACTTTACAAATAATTTTAATTATAAAGATTCTTATGTAATCTAAAATGTATAGATAATGCGCCAGGATCTATTAAAATTATTCAACTGGAAAAAAATGGAGTCTTACTGTTCACATGTTTGGTACAACAGGGGTTAAATTAAGGTTTGGGTAAGGGTACAGATTATGAAAATTATTACATTGTCGAGTACAATTTTTTAATTTGCAAAAGTAACTCTAGTAAGTCCTTCGTATTATTAGTTATGTCATTGTGTTACAATTGCATAAAAAAAATTCTAATTTGGTTCAATTATCTGATCTATATTCTTATTAAAATTAGACAAATTAATAAATAGTTCACTTGTAATCAAATTAGCCTTTCTAGTAATTACATTGATAAAGTTAATGATGTGTTTATAAACCCATTTAGAATGCTTTTTTTGCTTGCGATTGTAATTATGCTTTGTAGAAAATGTTATGCTACAAAAGTATTTAAATTAACTATAAAAATATATATAATCCTTTAAAATTCTTCAATTTAATATTTTTAACTATAGTGAGTCATCGTTATTTTTTATTGTGTTGCATAATTAGTGGTATATTCATAAAAAATAAAAACTATAGTATATACGCTTTATTAGAGATTGCGAGTCTTAATTGAAGATATCTATACCTCATTAGCGTATACGTTAATTTTTAAAATCGAAATTGGGTATACGCCGTATACCCCTCAAAACACCACTGCGTATAATACTTTAAATATCTACTTGCAGTTTAAACTTTATGCATTTACATTAATGATAAATAACATAGTTCAATTAGATTCAAATTAATCAAACTGGAAATTTAATCCAGATTTTCAATTGGGTATTAAAAGTTCGAATATTTCTAGAAAATACTGTTCTTTTATGAATTAAAGAATGGCTATGGTTTTGGAAACAATAATTTGTTTTAAATAGAGTTAAAAAAAAAGTTCGCACCGAAGCTGGTATATACATATATGTAAAGGTAGTAAAAAAATAGTGTCAAATTCAGATATTGAAATTATGATGTATGAGTTTTTATTCAACTAAGTTATAGTTGGAACTACTTAGGGTATTGCAATATTTTTCCTTTTATGTATGAGTTTTCTAGTATTCTCACGACTCATTAAGTATTTTACAATTCTTGTTTAAATACATGTATTAAATTAAACACACACATATATATGTATATAAATTAAGCTTTAAAAAGTTATTTTTTTAAATAAAATTAATACATTGTCCATTAAGTGTAATTTATTGGATAAATAATTTTGCATTGAATATATGATATATTTAAGAACATTATTTACAAATTTGAGTTTGTTTATTTGAATATTAGCATTTGGTGTATGTATTCGTGACTGAGATATTCTTACAGATTCTACATTTTTATGGGAGTGTTTTGGCTCTAAGAATCATAAAGATGTATTTGAATTAGCTAATGAAACGAATAACTGTACTCTTTGTTCCAGTTGAGTTTTTAATGATTATAAATGATTATTCACAGGTACCAAATATCCCTATGATGGTCAATGATCAATTCCAGATGGCTGCTGCTAACTATCTTCCATATGCCCCGTTCAACGTTCATACAATGATTAGGCCGTATCAGATAACTGACAATAATAAAAATGGCCCGAGGCCTAGCAATTTAGTAGCCTTGCCACTTAATGGAAACGCATCCCCTGCTGTAAGTTTAGCCGGTGACACATTAGTAAATGAATTGGCTGCGACCCAACAACAAGCTTCTGGTTTGCATGAACTACCCCCTGACGTCGAAATCATTGATGTACACGGCAAACCACAGAAAGAAAACCAAGGAGCTGTCCCTTACTTGTATAATACTATTGATCATTCTGGATACAAAAAGTCAACTAAATTTCCGGGCTATAAATATTGATAAGGAATCTGAGTACTTATGATGCTTAATATAGTATTAATATTTTTAGTATAAAAGGTAATACTGGTGCTATTGACGTTAAAGGTTCATGCATTGATGAATCGAAATATGATAATATTTAGCTATATGCTAATGGAAAACTAATTATATTCCTATGTAAAACCTAAGAATTTATTAAATTAATTACTCTACTTATTGAAAAAGTCATTTATTTATTTTAAGAAATATGTCATGACAAAAACATTTAATTATTAGGATTATAATTTCTTAAACTTTGTTTTGATATTTTTTAATTATATTTTATTCTTATCTGTAAGATCTCAAATTATTTGATATACATAAAAAATTAAAAAAATTAAATTTTATTATGTAAGTATTCATTTTGATTAGTTATTATATTTAGAATGAAAAAAAATTTAAGTACATTATGTTTTGAAATTTTATATATGCTTTTTATTACTATATTTTTAATCTAATAGGATATGAATAGTTGAACGACGCCTTAAAGAATACAAATAAATACAACTATTAGAAAATAATTAATTATTCTATAGTTAGATAACACCTGAAATTTAAAAACAATAAATATTTTAATATCTTGTAAAAGTGTACTAAGGATAAGATATCCTAATGCTACTATCATACTATTATTTAAATAGCGTTAAAAAATAAAATGTCCCCCGGCTTCTTAACATATTCATAAATACGCTATTAAGAAAATTTCATAATATGGAAATATATGGAACACTTCAAATTTCATATATTATGTGAAATTTTAAGTGCTAACTCTACACTCTTAAAACACAAATATCCGAAGTTTCACATGCATGAATTGGAAGTTATTAACGCATTGGTAACATTACAAGTGAACGAACACAACTGAGTTTTTAAATAAATAATTGTCTAATCTGATTGCAACATACTAGTAGTTATTATAACAAAGAAAATATTTAAGCTAAGTCCTACTGCAATATCATAATTTTAATGTAGTATCACTAATTACAAACTGTAGTATTATGCAATGCTAAATTATTAAACATCAATTTAATACATTACATCAATAATTTTATCGTTATAATATGTATTTTTTCGTGTATTCTACGTCGTATTAAATATAAAATTTGTAATCAGGATATAACTAAGGAAATAGGAAATTCATTTTGCTTTTGGAATAATCCAACAATTCCTTTTAAAAATTAAACACTATCTACAGTTTTGCATTGTAACGTTTTTTATGATAGTGTTTTTAATCACTGTCAGATATCATCTATACTTGTCCTAACTTAACGAAATCCCAGTCTGTTGGGTTATTTATTTAATGACAGTTGTTAATGCTTACTACGAAAAAAGGCCTTGAGAATAATAATATATCATATAGAGTGTTCAGTATGTAAGGAAATAGGTTAATTGTTACAAATAATGAGAACAATAGAAATCAATTTCCTTACTTACTGAACACTATATATTAAAATATTGCATAGGTACATCAAGCTTTTAAAGAAATATTTTTAAACATTATCATGGCTTTTCTGAATAAAAATTATTATACCTATATTTAGATTACATTCATAAACCTATAAATAATTACATTAGTTTACATTTGAATGTATTGAAATTTGTTATATTGTAGTGAAAAAATCGATAAAAACATTACAATTAAGGCATTTTTTTTTTGAAGTTTTATTAAATCTAATTTTTAACGATCATTGAGTATACATTAAAACATGTTTTATTTAAACAAATAAAAGTTTTTACAAAACAATGATTCGTACTTAGTTATTGTTTTGTATATGAGAGGTACTTCTTGAATTTATGAATAACATATATTATTTGTAACATACTTTGGATAAGGTAAGAGGTTGACTTAAATGTTATTTTTATTTATAAGATTCTAAATCCCCGCTAGTCTCCAACTACTCTAGCCGATATTACATTATTAATGCTTATAAATATATATTTAAGTTTTGCTTGTTTTTTAGTAAAGTTTGAAAACATTAAAAAATAAAACGTTCGCACAGTGGGGTCGTGACATAATTAGGACAAGTATAGATATCTGTTGGTGATTAAAATCACTATCACAAGAAACGCCCCGATGCAAATCTGTAGATAGTGTTTAATTTTAAGAAATTGGTGGATTATTTCAAGAGTAAAATTAACTACTATTTTTTGTTCAAATTCGACTTCCATTTGCACGTAGAAGATAAGTCGTTGGAATTATTATTTTTTTAATTTATAGTACGTAACATAAGCTTTAATTTAACATATGTTTAAAAGACGTAGTATTTCCGGAAAATTTTCAAAAGTTAAGTTGATAAAGTTGAATGTTGTAAAAAAGTTACTATTTTTAATCTATCTCTTTGAGCTGATTAGGTGTCGTATTTTCAAATAAAAAGAAAATATCTAAGGTTTCAATATAAAAATTATTTTGATTCCTTCATTTTTCAATAAGTTATGGCAATTTTTAGAAAAAAAAGTGAAAAATATGTTGAAATTTACTGAGTAAAAATCGTAATTTTTTGGGGATTTTCATCATTTACGAGGAACGAGGGAAAAAGTTTTAGTTTTTCAGGGTTATGTCTTCAACTAGATACGATTTGTGATCTTCTGACGTATCGTTGACAAAAATCGGTCCAGTGAGAGCTGAGAAAAAGTAATGACAGACAAAAAAATAATAATAATAATGAAAAAAAATTAACACATCATGACAAAATTAATACCTTCTCAGCTTCGCATCAAAGCTAAAATAATTGAGAAAACCATAGTTTTAAATTTCGAAAATATTTTTAGGTTTTAGTAAAAACATGTAAATAAGTACAATTATACCTAACTTGGCTATAGTTGCTAAATCAATGTATGACCGTTGACCTCATTCAGCTGTATGATGATAAAAAATTATACGCTACTTCATCAGTTTGCTTATTATTGTTGTGTTATACTATTGATACTACACATGTATAATGTATATGTTTTTTGTACCTTTTAGTTTGAGTATAATTTATCTAATTTATTAACTTAGTAAAGAGTTCAATTATATGCAAAAAATTACAAAGGAATGTTATAGTTTAAGGTATTTATATATACAAAATAGACAGTAAAAAAGTAAGCTATTATTAATTAATAATAATAGGCTTTCATTAAAAATTTCGATATTTGATAAATATACATTAATTAAATCATATTAAATAAATATAATATCTAGCCATATACTCAACATAATATTATAGAATTTATGTTGTAGTTTTACATAATCAAACTGATACAGTGTAATTATTTTAGACTAATGGTATATCGTTTAATAAATTACGAATTATCTATGAAATAGTTATAATATAACTATTTCTTAGTGTAAATAATAAACTTATTAAATTTCTACTGATAAAAATACCATGGAGTGGTTTTTGTTGTTTTAAATTTATAATAATAATACCTATTATATTTTTTTTATGAGACTTTTTGCTTTAAAAATTGTTAAGAATGTATAAATTTCGGTTCTATTTCATTCTTTCTACATTTAAAATTTTTATTCTTAGATGGTTTTTTATTATTAATACTAAAGGTACAGTTTTCAAATATTCAAAGTATTTTCTAAAATAAAAGAATTTTTGTGATTCAAAATAATGATTTTATAACTCAGTTAAATGGATTTTTAAGTGTAAAATAAAAAAAATTAAATGTATTACATTGTAATCTTATGGTAAAAAGAGTACAGACAATGCCTTTTACACAACACGTAACAAATGATTCTTATTGCTATTTCAACGTAATATTCTCAATTACCAAATTATTTAAATTTGGTTTGATAAAATCGTATCTTCAAATCATAAATTATAGTAAGTCTTTAATAGAAATGATCAAAATTATTTCTATGTAATTAAGTTTTAACGTTTTGTTCATTATTAATTTAATTCAAATTTAATTAAAATTCAAATTCAAATTCATCTTAGAAGGTGAGTCCAACAATTTCATGAAACTGAAATCTTCATAATTTGTTTTTTATAATAAATAAATAAAAGGCATTATCAAAAATAACTTGTTATAACACTATCGTGATATACGCACGGATCAACATTATTTATCATAGAATCATATTGTATTTTTATTCTATCTGTTGTAGAATTATATAATATTGTTCGATTCAAATGGATAAAACTTTTAACTCTAATAATTTACAAAAGTCAGTAGTTAGAACCCATGACATGTTTTATTAATGATAACTTGGATAATACAATTGATAAGATTTAACAGTGTTGACCAAGTTATAACATTTGCCCCCTTTAAATTAATTTTTTTATATATATCTTACAACAATTTGTATTACATCTTAAGGAAAAAGAAAAACGATACATACATTTATAAAACCTACTATAAGTAAATAATTAACATAAACTATAGTTCTAAACAGTTACAAAATAAATAATTATATGATAGTTATAATAATATTTACTACATTTTATACTTTATGGGCTATACCTGCAGGATTTAACAATTTTTCTTTTGGTCTAGGAGTTGCAACCTTTTTATTTGGGCTAAGAATTTTTGTGTTCTTAGTAGAGCTATAATTAGAAATAGAAATAGGAACTTTAGTTTCGTCATTAGTACAATTGGTGTTTTATATTTGAATTTATATTGGATTTATTAATAGAACTATTTTGTTCATTAGTCAATATTATATCTATGTGGCGTTTCCAGTTTAAAGTATCATCATTAGTACAAACTTTATTAGTTTGTAAACCTAACTGCTTAGTCACAACAGCAGGAACCCATTTTTTTGTTGAACTGCGATAGTCTCTACCAACACTTTATTTTTAACACAAATCTAATGTTTTTTTACCACTAGATAGAACTTGATTAATTTTCTTACTTTCCATAATAACACTGGTAGAAGGTCGTAAAAGATCAAACATGTATCTAACTGATCTATTTAACAATAATTTGACAGGCGTTTCACCTATTGTGGCATGGGGTGTGTTACGATATTGAAATAAAAAGTTATTCAATTCAGTAACTATGTCACAGTTAGGATTTTTAAAGGTTATTTTTTTTACAAAGTTTTTACAGCATTTTTCACTGCCCCATTACTTTGTGAATGGTATGTGTTGGTACACCAACTAAATAGACAATACCAATTGTTTTTAAGTAATTTTGAAAATTTTCACCCATAAACCACTTGGCACCATCAGACGTTAGGTATTCCAAATCTAGCCAAAATATCAGTAAATATTTTTATTACAATATTTTCATTTACTGAATTTACTTTAAACTATTTTAGCCATTTAGATGTATCATCAACGATTATTAGATAGTTTTGCCTATAAAAAGTCCCTAAGATGTCTATTAATAAATGAAGTCTAGTCCAAACACTTTTTTGGATAAGGGAAAGGCTTTAGGATCGCCTAGGAGGCATTGCCTTAAAGAAAAAACATGGTTGACAATTTACAGTAATATCTTCTATGTCTTTATCCAAAAGCGGCCACCGAAAATAAGTTCTAGCCAAGTATTTCATTTTTGAAGTACCTTGATGTGTACTATGTAAATGATTTAGTAAGGTATTTCTATATTTAATTTGAATGATAAGCCTATTACCCCACATTAAAATATTTTGTTCAACCGTCAACTCGTTTTTCTTTTAAAAAATGGTAAAATGTTTTTATCAGTCTTAGCACTGGAAGGCCATGAGTTATTTAATAAATAATTAGTAATTTTGGAAAGAATAGGATCATATATTAGGTAGCTATTTTTATTTTTGACCAATCCAAACAATACTTACATTCATTAGTAATAAGATTCAAGTAATTGACTGCTGCAACAGTGTCTATTTGTTTACCTTCAATATCTAACCTGAATAGGTAATCTTTCGGATTATTATTAGTAGAAACTCATTTGATGTCAATGGTATAGGCGAATAAGACCTATTCCCATCTTTCCAACCTGTATACCTTTTTTAGGATTTAATATATTTCCCAACGATTTATTATCCGTAACCAAGGTAAATTTTTTTACTCCATAAATTATGGCTAAATTTTCTCTTTTAATTTGAGGGTATTTTCCTTTAGCAGGAAATAAATGGTGAGATGAAAAAGCTATTGGTTTTTCTTTGTTATCTGGGAATATATATGATAACATAGTACCTAAAGCTTTATTGGAAGCATCCACGGTTAATTTCAAAGGTAATTCTGGGTTATAGTGTGATAAAACCCTATTAGACAAAAGTAACTTTTTAGACTATTAAATGAATTAATATAACTTTTAGGCCATTCTAAAGTAATATTTTTTCTTGTTAGTCTATATAAAGATTCTAGTAGTTCTGCAGATTTAAGTATACATTTTAAATAGTAGTTTACCATATCTAAAAAACTTTTAAGTTGTGTTACAGTAGTAGGAATGGGTGAATTTTTAATTGCCTTAATGTGTGTTTGTCAGATGGGTGCAAATCATCCTTATCTAGAATATGACCAAGGTAAATAATAAATTTTTGTAAAAATTTACATTTTTCTACATTAAACCTGCATTTTGAAGTTTACTTAAAACTATTTCTAATCTACTGTTGTGTTCAGACCTTACCAGAAATAGATATGTCTTCCTGGAAAATTGTAACACCTGGTATGTCCCCAATTAACTGTTCAAGTATGCGATGAAATAGACTAGCAGCACAATTTATTCCATGTGGAACACTAGTATATGCAAATAGACCCAAGTGTGTATTTATTACAAATAATTTTTGTGACTTTTCACTTAATTCTAATTGTGCATAAGCATCTTTTAAATATATTTCAATAAAATATACTGAGTTACTATGTTTTGAAAACAAATATTCAATTTTTGGAAGAGGATATTGTAATCCCACCAATACCGGATTTATAGTAATATTGAAATCGCCACAAATTATTACAGAATTGTCTGATTTTAATACAGGAACAATGAACGTAGTTCATTTAGAAAATTCTACAGGTACTAAAACACCAAAATTAATAAGTCTAGTAATTTATATTCTTTCTATTCTTTTACTTTAAGGGCAAAAGGAACAAATCTTAAAAGATTTTATGTTTTTATAGTGTTGAAAATTAGTTAAGATAGGTGTAGTCATTTACTAATTACAATAGTAAAATTGATTTATTTACAGAATTTCAACTTTATGCTAGTGAAAGTATTTCAAAAATGAACGGTTTAACACAATTTGGATTAATTCTGCAAGTTTTGGTCTCATCTTTAGGTGATCATGTGAAAATTGGGCCATGTACTTTAGTTATTAATCCTGCTTGTCCAGATCCCACAATCAAGTTTTACTTATACACAAGGTACTAATGAATGTATTTGTGAATAATTTGAAATTATAAATATAAAAATGTACAGATAAAATATTTTATTAAAACTCAATCCAAGTTGTTATGAATAAGATTTAAAAAAAACTTAAAAGTTATATCAGCTAAATAGTACTCAAAATAATATAATCTATTCACATAGTTAGTTCAATTATAATTATTTAATTTTAAATTATTTAAATAATTTAATTTAAGTAGCTTATTTAACTTAGATGAAAACGCGTTGTAGTTTGGTGTGTAGGTACCGGAGCTCGATATTAACTAGATAGAGAAAGAGCACGTGTTATGTAATGTAGAAAAGCTAACAAAGTGATTCGCGTATATAATATCAGGTCTTAACCGTGACTCAATAGTGTTAGTGCTCTACAGAGAAACATTAAATAATTTTCTTTAGTCTGAAAATTAATTTGTTTCACATTTTAATGCAAAATACACATAAATTTAAATAAATAAAAATTCTATCTACAAAATAAAATATAGTTAGCAATAACACGAACATAAGGCACGTAATAGACGATGGAGTATTGGAACATTCAGGTGTGCTACCCTTATATTTCAAAAATTTTGGAAAAAATTTGTATATGATTAAAAAGTTAAGAAATTTTTCTGTAAATAAAACGATCTTAGAGCATATGGGAACTAGTCATGAGCATACAAGCAAAAGAATACTTAAATGTAATAGTTAATCTTCAAAATTGCTATGTATTTTTTCTTTTTTTTTTTAGAAAAAATCAGTTTAATGCTCAATTAGTTACAGTTGATAATATAACAGACTCATATTTTCATCGAGATCATAAAAACAAACTTATTATTCATGGTTTTAATAGTGGATGGAAATTGGATGAGCTACAGAATATTAAAGATGGTAACATAAATACAATATTATTTGTTTTTAATTCAAATTAAAATGCTATATAAATACTTAATTTTAATTTAATAAAAATGACTATGCAATTTTCATGTTTTATAAAACTAATTTTCTTCATCTTAAAGAAATAAGTATACTACGTTTTATTTTTAATTTTTTCGAAATCTTGTATTGTGCTGGTTAGTTCTTTTTTTTTAGAAAATCTCAGTTTGGATATTGTGGAATAATTGAAAATTTTTCTGTTACGAAGATAATATATAAGCTAAATGTAAACTTTTTCTTTTTTTGTTCAATTATATTTTTTTTCATTATGAAATTGGCGCACTCGGAGGGAAACTTGCTTTTAGTTCGAATATAATTGTTATTTTTAGTTATTTTACATCACCAACTGAGTAATTAAAATTTAGTTTTCGAAGTATTATAACTCCTAGAAATTGTTGTTTTTTTCTTAATATAATAAAAGTTATTAAAGACAACGTCAAACTCAAAACAAATGATTATGTATACGTGTTCACATATTTTTGCTTTATTGTTGAACGCTTAATTTTTCCTAAAATAATAGTAATAATAATAATAATAATTTTGAGATTTTTTTTTTTTGGTCTTCCTCTACCTTTTTTTCCTTCAATATTCATTTCTATAACTGTTCTTACAGCTTCCGATTCTTCTCTCCTCGTAATATGACCAAACCATCTAAGTCTATTTTCTCTCATCTTATCCACGATTGACGTTACACCTATACTCCCTCTTATATGCTCGTTTTTTATTCTATCTTTTCTAGTCACTCTACTCATCCATCTAAGCATTCTCATCTCTGCTACGCTCATTCTCTGCTATACTTTCTCATCAACCGCCCAACACTCTGAACCATACATCAATCATAGCTGGCCTTATTACAGTATTGTAGAATTTACCTTTCAGTCTTATTGGAATTCTTTTATCGCATAAGACGCCAGATGCTTCTCTCCACTTCAACCACCCGCACTTAATTATGTGTCTTACACAATAAAACAATTACCTTAATTTTATAAACAGAAGTAATTTGAATTTTTTGACGAGTTGTTAAACAAAATTGGTTCAGTAGGTACAAAGAATTGATATTGCCTTTTACAAAAAAGTAACATATCTTAGCAAAATTAATGTTTTCACAAATTTGCTTAGATGATAAAAATATCATTATTGTCACTGGTTGTGTTGTTTATTTAAATAATTTTTCATTTTCAACAGAGTACATAAAAAGAGAAGATGTTAATGTTTGGATGATTGACTATGGAGTACTGTCAGCTGGTCCATTAGAATGTTATCCAGCTGCAGTATATAATTTACGGTTTGTTGGAATATGTTCTACAAGTATGGTTAAAGCGATATTGAATTATTCTCTTGTAAAAAATTCTGCGGAAGCATTACATATAATTGGGTTCAGTCTTGGAGCTCATATGCCCAGTCACATATCGAGACATATAAGTCCTATTAAACTATCCCGAATTACAGGTAAAATTTTATTCTAAAATTAAAGAAAAAAATATTTTATGACGTGTGAGGTAGATAATAATATTTTGATTAACTAGATGCAATTACAAATTCAAACAATCTGTTTTTGAAATATGAACATAACGTTTTCATAGTTCACAAGATTTGGTAAAATTTATTTGATACTAAAAAACTTTAGCTGGGCATGACTATAAATTTATAATTCTATAATTTATTTTTGTACCATCTGGTACATTTTATGAAATTAACGTCGTGAAATGCTTTTCATAGAAATATGGACATTTTGATAAAACTTCAATCGTACTTTGTGTAGGTTTAGACCCCGCTCTGCCGTTGTTTTACGGTTTGAATAATATTACACAGTTAAGCAAACACGATGCAGATTTTGTGGATGTTATTCATACAAATTCATTAGTTCAGGGACAAGTCAAACCTTGTGGACACGTCGATTTCTATGTCAACGGAGGAATAACCCAACCAGCATGTGATAATAGTACTAGTAAGTTTAAGTTTTCGAAATATGGTGTGAAAATATTACAGTTTACTATTAACAAATGATTCAACAATGGTCTAGTAGATTTTTTTGTATACATTATTTAAGTTACCGATACATTTTTTTTGTTCATGGCCTTTTAGATTATACATCCAATCATAAATTTCTACATACATCATAATTTTGCATCAATATGTGCCAATCTTCATCCGGGTAGAAATCTGCTACATTCTTCTTGACACTGTCCTTCCATCACATCCAGTGTCTTCCCAAAGGTCTATTCCTTCTTAGATCCTCTTGTAACAATGTCCAAATCTTGACTTCTGATTTTCTGTACACATGATATGCCCATTCCAGCCTTTTCCTTTTTATCTCATTTACTATATCCAATCTATCACATAGATCATATAGCTCCCCATTGTTTCTGTTTTTCCATTCCCCATTTGTGGGTCACGGCAGGGTCCATAAATTTTTTTTCCTTTCAAAGATACTTATTCTTGACTCGTTATTATTCCTTACAGTCCAGCATTGCATTCCATAAAGTACCATAGATATTATTAGCTTAATGTATAATTAGACTTCTAGTTTCTTTGAGAGGGTTCTTGATTTATAGAAGTTATTATTTCCATTAATTGTACTCAGAAATAATAAAATAAAAAATAGTAAAAACATAAACAATTAATTTATATTAATTAAATTCATTTAAAACATTATGAATTTATGAAACATTATTAAACTGCCAGTTATAAAAACAACTATTTTCTGCTTTATTTAATTTTTATTTATAACTAAGAATTTATAATTTAATTTATAGTATGCTCATGAATCTTATAAAATTAGACTAAATTCTTGAAATTTTGTTTTAATATTTATTCTTATTTTTATGTTAAAAATATTTAAAAAAAATTATGCTTAAGTATCCAAATATTATAAAAGTTTTTGGTTATATAAATAATACTGTAATTATAATACTTTTTAGAATAGTTTAAAAAAGTTTCCGATTTCTTTATTTAAAAACCTGATTCTTTTGTTACTGTATTACTTCTCCTACTCCATGCTATAAAATTTTTCTTTCAGATCCTTCTAAATGTAACCATCATATGGCTCCCAGGTATTTTGCAGAAAGTATTAACTCGATAAAAGGTTTTTGGGCGTGGCCATGTTCAAGCATATTCGACTACTACAATGAAAAATGTCCTGTAAAAGGCGAGCAAAAGTTAATGGGAGAATCTTGCGACACAAAGTATTGAAAAATTTAATTTACTTAAATTTTTTTCACTTCAATATTTTTAATATTTATATTTAAAATCCTCTCCTAAAAGTTGTTGCTTGTGTTAAACAGGCTAAATAAAGCCTATTCAGCTCATTGCAATAGAATCAAATTCTGGAATTTGCGCATTAAGGCACAGAGTATTTTGGCTGAGCTTTATAGGCTGCCCAATGTTATAAATTTGATATTAATATTTTATTATAAATGTGTTCTAGCTCTACTGGATATTATGTTTTAGATACATATAAGCATTATCCATATGCTATGGGAAAACGATCTGATTCAGAGCACTAGAATCACATTATTGTTAATTTATTTTCGTTTAAAATAAAGGAAACCGTCAAAATTATTAAAATTAGTGAAAGTTTAAAAACGAGAATAATGATTATTTCTTAGATTTTGTTGTCAAATTTCATTTTAGTTTACAATATAAGAGTCATGGTTGATGTTTACACCAGATGATTTTTAAATACACAAATAAACTCGTTGATAATTGTTTTGATGTTTTCTTTGCATTATCATTATTGTTATCTGTAAGTTTATTTGTTTACGCTAAAACAATAAGTTTATAATTTTACTTCACAAAAGGCATTTTTAATGAAATTTAACGTTGATAAACTCGTCGAGTTCAAAATGAAATATTGCATTCATAAGTTTAGAAATGAAAACTTTACAGGAAATTTAATGAACTACCTCAGTAGGCTAGACATCAGCGTATAAAGTAAATTGTAGGGTTTAGTCATTTGAATATGATATCATTATTAGACTTAGCCGAAGTCCAAACTATGGTTAGTCACCATCAGTAGTGAAAACAATGAACCTCCAGGACCTCTCTATACATACTCTCACTTATTGTTCTCTTAGCAACTTCAAATTTCCCTAATCAGCTTGCACAAAGGTCCCGTGGGAAAACCTCTTGTATTTTATCATCATTAACTTATGCTCTATTCTACCACTCTTCGTTTTCATAAATATCGTTAAGTGCATTATTTTAATTATTATAAACTAGTCGGTTTATTTAATTAGTGGTCAACAATTTTTCATTTAACTTTGGTAGTACTATACGAAGAAAATATGTGGCCTATACTTGAAAACTAATATGTTACAAATACGTTTTTGAGTTTTTTTTATAATTTGCACTAAGAAAACTCTCATCTGTCAAGTTCCAAAAAAATATGAGTCAATTTTTATAGGGAGGATTTATTTTTTAAACTTCAAAAATATAATTTTTTATAAGACACTATTGACATTTTCCATTTTATTTTCTCTCTTAAAAAATTGCTAAATGTGACATAAACTTATTTGACTCAACTACTTGGACAATATTTTGCCAATTTGTTAACCCAACGCCTTTTGGATGTCCTTTCAGGATAATAGAAACGTTATATTTGATGAAGCTATGTATAAGAAGCTGACAAACGTTCAAATCATTTAACTCCTGTAGTACAAATTAATGTTTGTTACTGAAAAGATAATGAAGCTTAGGAAAATATATATTACCTTTAAAAGTGTTGATTTTAATAATCAAGACTTAGCAAGAAGGGAGTGTTTAAATTTTCTACAAAAAAATTCTGTTATAAATAAAGGGGGTTTAGGAAAAAATGAAAAACATTCACGACTCATAAAAGACTTAAAAAATAAAAACTGTTTTTATTTAAAGGCAGATAAGGGGAATTCTGTTGTAATACTAAAAAAAGAAGATTATTATGAAAGAGTATCAAGAATGATTCAAGAGGGTCCTTATAAAGAAATTAAAAAGAATCCATTAAGTAAAATGATAAGGGAGGCTACAAACGTCATAAATAGTTCAAAATTAATAATCGAAGAAAAGTTCAGGTTTTTCATTAAAATTTCAAACCCTCAAATACCTAAACTATATGCTTTGCCAAAAATACATAAGCCAGGAAGTACTATGAGACCTATTGTGTCGAATATTAATGCTCCGACTTACAATTTGGCTAAACACCTAGTAAGGGTATTTTCATCTTTCAAAAAATTCGATAGTTTTTCAGTTAAAAATAATATTGATTTAGTTAAACAATTATCTAGTTATACCATTCAAAATAATGACAGGTTAATTTCTTTTGACGTAGTTGCCTTATTTCCGAATATTCCAATAAATATAACAATTGATTTTCTTAAAGACTGGCTAAAGGACCAAAACATTGAACAGGATAAAATAAATGAGCTTATTAATTTAACAAAGTTATGTATGAGTCAAAATGTTTTTCAGTTTCAAAATAAATTTTATGAGCAAACTGAGGGCACAGCAATGGGAAATCCGCTATCACCATTTTTAGCAGAACTTTTCATGAGTAGGTTTGAAACAAATTTAAAATACACTTATGGTGATTTTCCAAAAATTTGGGTTAGGTATGTCGATGATATTTTTGCAGTTATAAATAAAGATTTTAATATGGGGGTTTTCATACAACATTTAAATTCTTTTTACCCATCGATTAAATTTACATATGAACAAGAAATAGAGGGAAAATTGCCTTTTTTGGATTTATTAGTTAAAAGAACAGAGGGGGAACTAAATTTTGAAATTTATCGGAAAAACACACACACGTTCAGATACATTCCGAACACATCGAACCACACCTGGCAACACAAATTGTCAGCTTTTAATAGTATGGTTTACAGATTAATTAATATTCCGATGAATAAAATAGATTATGATAAAGAATTGGTGGTTATAAAAGAAATAGCTAAATTTAATGGGTATAACGAAAACATAATTTTGAAATTAGTCCGAAAACAAAAGTGGAAAAAAGAAAGGAGGGCAGCTAGTACACTCTCCAGCGAGGGGGAACAAAAAGTAATTAGATCACCAATTTTATTTTATCCGGGCATCTCAAATGGATTAACTAAAATATTTAAGAATTTTGGTATTACTTTGGTAACATCTAAGAGTAATAATTTAAGAGATTTATTAGGTAACCCTAAAGATAAGGTAGATGAAGGGGGGAAATCAGGCATTTATAAAATACAATGTGAAAGTTGTAATAAATGTTACGTAGGACAAACAAAAAGAAATATAGGGGTCAGGTTTAAAGAGCACTTAAGAAATATTAAAAATCAAGAAATTGAGAAATCTCCAGTGGCTGAACATTTATTGACACATAATCACTCTATTAAAACCATAAAACTAATTAAAAACGTAAATAATTACAAAGAACTTAATATCAGAGAAGCAATAGAAATGTTTAAAAATAAAAACAATTTAATTAATTGGGATCTTGGCCCACTGAAAAATTCATTATTAAACTTGTGTAAACTGGCAAAATGTGATAATATTACTTAGTGATAACGTCACTAGGTGATAAGGTCACTAGGGGTATATAAGGGAGTTTTTTCTAGTCGGGGTGTCAGTATGTGTTTAGCGTTGATAATGGTAACATTGTTTCCGAAATACGTATCCGCGACTTTTCATTAATTTTTTTGTGGCTTTTGAGTTTAATATTTTTAATATTTTTTAGTTTTTTTAAATTAATAATATTTTTAATATAGTTTTAATTTTACTTAATTAACTAGCCACAAGTGATCAATTTTTATTATACTATTTCGAAATCTAAATTTTTAAATTATTCTAAAATGAGTGTGTCTAAAAATGTTTTGTTAACATAAACAATTAAATTTAAAATTTTTATCAGTTTGTAAATTATTTAAATGCAATTTTGGGAAAAAAAACTAAAACATTTTTAATATTTAAACAAATTTGAGCGTAAATAATCATAAACCATTTTAGATATTATAAGCTTAACTCATAAAAAACAGCTTAACTTTAACAAGAACCACGAGGAGGGTTCTGCATGGGTCAAAGGTAACGTCGGAGCACCATTGATTTTTTATCTTATCCTAGGGAGGGAGAAAGGTTATAAATAACAGTTATGACTTAAAATAACAATTATTAACATTTGTTAAGTATTATAATTGAGTTTTATAATTATCAAAACATAATAAAATGAAAAAATAGACAGTAAAACTAAATTACCCATTAAAATCAAATCATACCAAATGCATAGAACCCAAAATAATAGGAGTAAAAAATATATATACATATATGTATAAACACCAGAATATAATATTAAAGTTGGGTTATAACCAAAAATAGAAAATTCATGAAAAGTTTAAGATTATAAATCTAACTGAAGTCATTTAAAAATTGTGTATATTAAATAACATCCAAATTAATATTTCTTTTTGCTTGTAATATTATTTTGAGTGCTAATTATCATGAAGTCCAGATAAATGTAAGAATGTTACGTGTGATTTATAATAATGATCTAAAACAGGCTATCTACAGATAGTTAGGCATTGAAATGGCCTATATGATCTCTAGAAAAATCAACGACATATCATTAATATAGCGTTCAAACAACTAATATTTAAGTTTTTATTATAGCAACAATCAGCATGCATACAAAAATATTAACTGGTTAAGAAAAACTAACTGCTTAAATATATTAAAATTTCACTACCATACACAGAATTAAACAACGCATGTGGTAAGGGTATTATGGATATGTCACCAACGTCAATGGGTATCCTCTATATAAATGTAGAAGACCCAATGAGATGTTCACCCTGACCGTATCCGACGGCTTGATAGTTCATGACAAGTAGAAAGAATAGAAAATAAACGAATTTTAAATAGAGTAGACCATTAAAGATAAAATGAAGTTTAAAGTTAAAATGTATATACATAGTCATAAACTATTATTATCAATTAAACAACATAGTTAGGTAACCAAAAAACAAAATTAATTAAAATATTAAAATACGCATATTGTGCAAAGATACAGAAAAATATAATAAAATTTTCGATATGTCCAAAGAAAGATGATTAATATAATGGTGCTATAATTATGGTCAAGTCACATTGAAAACGTCCTACTCCATCTTGGAAGTTGACAACAATGTGATGACTTAGAAGTTGATCGACCCACCGAAAAAAATCAGAAATGATTTTTTTGAACAGAACAGTACTGTTTCTCATCCCTCATGGCGACTTGTTATCACTTGAGAGAGCGTAGTGGACAGTGTGACCATAGACTGTTGACCATTATAAAATTATAATAATTAGAATACTTAAATAATAATAATACAATACAGGTTATCAATTTTTATTTTATTAACACTTTTTCTAGATCATTGTCCATTTAATAGTAAACAAAAATATCGCTATGTTCCTAATTAAATTTCAAAAGTTACTCCTAAAATCTACTCTTGGAATATGTTTTTCTTACAATAAACTTAATTATAAAAATAAAAAAAAATTTTTATCTATACATTTTTATGAAAAAATTATTTCATGAAAAATGGAAGGAAGTATACCTAATAAATCACAATGAACGTTCCTAATGAAATTACATTTTTAATTAATAACATTTAATAAAATAACATGATGATTGGGTACTAAATTTATCTATAGTAAATTGTGTTTTAAAAATCATTTAAAGTTATGATTTAAATCATTTTAGATTATTTAAAACT